TTGTTTTTCTTTGTGTGTGTGTGTGTGTATATGTGTGTGTGTATATATATGTATACACATTGCTACGTGTACTGCCTTAGGCTAACGAGACTTGTCATTTGCACTTATTGCTCTTTTGTTAGTTTTGACTGCTTTTATTGTCCTCATTTGTAAGTCGCTTTGGATAAAAGCGTCTGCTAAATGACTAAATGTAAATGTAAATATATAGAGAGCATGTTGCGTCTGTAATATTCCACAGATATTTCTAGTTTTTGAAAATTTTGCCTGGTATATTTTTTAAATATCATCAAAAATTTCCATTTAGCCTTTTTAGGCCATTATTTTATTCTTTCACAGTCTTGTCATTCACAATCATTTTTAATGTTTGACATATTTATGTTTTGTCAAACTTCATACATACAGTCAAACCAAAATTTGTTCAGACACCTTCAAAATTTCACACATTGTCACAGTTTATTCGCTAGAGTTTAGAAAATGGTAATAAAATATGACAAGAACTCAGAGTTAAACTGTGTCAGAACAAATTCAGGTAAGGTCAAAGTGTTTGAATAATTTTGGTCCCAAATTTTTATCAGTTTTACTGGTAGTCCAATGTATGAAACATTTTTGGGTATAATATGTCACGGTTTACTTTATTTTGCTATCCTTACTTACATGAATAAACTATAGTGTCCTGCACCCACTAGTAAAAAAAATATAAAAAATTATATCTGGTGTCTGAATAATTTTTGGTTTGACTGTATATCTTCTTTTCATTTTGTAAAACCAAAAATGATCAGATGTCCTCCTCATTACTACAGTTTGTTTTTGTGTCGAGTTTGTTCCATTTACAAGTTTCCTTGTAAATCATGAATTTATTAAAATTCATAGAAAAAAAATGTCTGCCATCTGTGGTCACATCATTTGTCTTTGTCATCCGTGATTGTTGTTGAGTGAAATGTACTGTATATACGTATGTCACCATGTATCTCATCAGTATATGCATAGTTACAACTTGTCTAAAATAACTTTGACCTTATGCCATTAACTGAGAGGAAATGAACATGCTATTCTGTCATCCTTTACTCACCTTCAAGTGTTTTGAAACCTGCATGACTCACTTTATTTTGTAAGCACAAAAGGGGTCCAGGCTGTTTTTTCCATACAGTGAAAGTGAATGCTGACCCTGGCTGGCAAGCAAGACTGTCAAGACAACATGCTCATTGAATCTATTTTTGTGAAGCTTGACAGACACTTTCACTGTATCAAAGCAAGCAGTGTAAATATTCTGCTAAACCTTTCCTATTGTGTACAACAGAAGAAATAAAGTCGTATGGGTTTAGAACAACATGAGAGTGAGTAAATGAAAAGAATAAAAAAATAAATCACTCTGTTCAATATATTACTGAAAAATACTATCCTGACCTGAACGTAGGTTAATCAAATTGCAAA